ACAGATAGCACTGAATAAGTTGCGTTGGCTCGGGCACGTGCTATGCATGCCTGGTCACCGCTTACCTAGGAGGGACTCGTTCAGTCTACCAGGTGTAGGATGGCGCAAGGCTCGAGGTGGACAGAAGTTGACTTGGCAACGGGAAATGAAATCAATGACGACCAAACTGGGTGCCGTTGGTCCGTCTCGCCTTCCGGCTTGAAGTCCACGTGACTCGCCTTGTGCTTGGCTCGAGACTTTACAGGACATGGCTCGCAGTAGACACCAGTGGCGCGTCTGCTGCCGTCTTCTTATCGGATTGTCTGTTTAAAGTGTGTTTGGTGCTGAGTTATCTGCGGGGTAATGGCTGATTATGACGCGTAGCAGTGAAAGCCGAAAGGAAGCTGTCTCGCCGATGCCGCCTTATCTTTGCACGATAGCCAGCTGTTTGTGACGGAATGTTGTCTACACAAGGTGTAGGCGCCTTGACCCTGAATATTTGCTTAGGGCATTAAGGTTTTCAGGTAAGTCCCCCTTCTCTCCCTCTTCTTATTCTTTATTTCATAGGTCCTCATGGTTGTATGGTAGCGAAGCATCAGTTCAAATGGCTGATATACTGCTGTTGCTGCTGATGATGTTGGTGGGGATCAGCTAGAAGTCGTTCAAAAATTCAACTACCTGGGAAGTTGTATCAGCGCCCGTGGGATTGAGAATGAGATCACGAACCGTATAGCAAAATCTCGGGGCGCTTTTGCTAACCTTCACCACTTATGGCGGTGGCACGACATCACTCTGGCCCTGAAGGGTAGAGTGTACAATGCAGCGGTACGTTCGACCCTACTGTACGGTTGTGAAACCTGGCCGCTTAAAGCAGCGGACCTCAAGAGGCTAGTTAAGTTCGACCATCGGTGCCTTCGCAGTTTGGCTCACATCTGGTGGGAACACCGTGTGAGCAACGAGCCTGTTCGACGCCTAGTTTACGGCACAGCAAAAGGAAATGAACCGCTCAGCACCGTCATTTCATGCACCAGGCTCCGATGGCTGGGCCACGTGTTGCGCATGCCAGCCCATCGACTCCCGCGACGTGCGTTGTTTGCGCCACGGGGATGTGGATGGAAGAAGAGGAGGGGTGGCCAAGCGATGACTTGGTCAAGAGGAATGAAGGCCCTCACTTCTGAGTTGGCCTCGGTTGGAGCGTCTCGGCTCCCTGGTTGGGGTCCGAAAGACGATGAACACGTTTGGTTGGACACACTTGCTGATATGGCTAGGAGCCGACCTCAGTGGCGTTCGTGCTGTGAGTTTCTTTGTCCCACCCCATCCCTCTTAGCCTCCCCTCCAACCACGATCTCATTATTTAGCCTTGCATAATTTTGCATAGTAATTTTTTTATGCACAGTAGCCGGCTTGTAGCTTACCGGAACGATGTCCATCCGTTACCGGTAGCTTGCACCAGTTGCATTCTTTTTTCTCCTTTTTTCTGTGTATTGCGGCACAGTAGCTAAGGTGTTCCCCACCTCTAGCTAACGTGTATGATGATGATGATGATGAGTGCAGGGCCTGCTGAATATGAAGCAACTCCAATGGTTCTGTCACGTCCTTCACACACCTGCCAGTCTTTAGCTTAGAGTGCATAGCCTGCCAACATAGCCCCTAGGTGGACCAAACCCCGATGTGGCCAGTCAATAATAGGACAAAATCGAACTAGGTAGCTCACCGAAGAGCTGAGTATGGATGGGGACCATACCAGAGGTTGGATATCATACCAATTACAGTGTAGTCGTGAAATCAGTGGCGCTGTTGCATTTGCACCCCCTTATGCTTTATTCCAAACAATTCCTGTTGACGACTTTTATTCGTACCTGCTGCTATTAAATAAGAATTATTATAATGGCTGTTGAACTGTTCGCTGAGCTTGGCAATTTTGTTGCAAACGTTTCGTCACCAATCGAGGTGACTCGATTGGTGACGAAACGTTTGCAACAAAATTGCCAAGCTCAGCGAACAGTTCAACAGCCATCTGAAAAACCTGAGCTACCAGCCTTCAATTATATAATTATAATAATATTCGGGTGATGTGAGTTAAAAGCAATTTGACCCACCTATGGTTAGTCGAACCTAACTGGTCCACACATTTTGCTTTTGTAAAGTGGAAAGCTATGGAGGAATCAACTCACAGGATGTGGAGTAATGCGATTGATTGGTGCATTGGACGAGGCCAGTCTAGTCACCTGGACATATTGATAATCGATGATGAGATCTGACAAAAATAGTGGCTATAAACTCCGACTAAGCCTCGAGGTCGAGGAGTACACAAACGACCATTCGTTGGAATTCACTTGAACAAAGTGTGCTCTGCACAAATGTTGAGAGTGATTCTAATGTTCTAGAGATTTAGGATCATCAGACGTGTGAAATGTGTGAGATTCAGTAGCTGTAAGTGATTTATGACCTCACAGTTTCGTATGCGTGATTACGAAGAGCAAGTACATAAGTAAAATAAGTAAAATAATCAATTCGGTAAGTTTTCGCAACTAGCGTCATTTTGAATCATTCAGGCGAAAACTAAACAAATGCAAGTGCGAGTTCTAAGTCGTTTCTCTCTGTGACGGCTATCGAGGGCTGAGTGGGGCCTGTATCTTTTGAAGGATAATTGTGGGGACTCCACTCTGTCAGACAAGCATTGCATCTACAGAAAGTCACTATACGGCTTGCAAGTCCCTTAGGAACCCACAAAAACTGGAAATGCTGCTATACCCAGTTGTAATTAAGCAGAAATACGCCCGGGTTACGAAGGATGACGGCAGTTGACATAACGCGAAAAATATGGTCAGATTGGCGACGTCATCCAATAACCCATGTGAGCAAGCGAACGCAGCCGGGCTCAGTTGGGGTGAAAAGAAAGCCAGACAAAGTTGGGACTGTCGAAGGATCATACATCAGTTATGGTTATCAAAGCAGGGAAATGGTGCCATTAGAGGCGCGATGTATTGGTCTGGGTGTCTAGAAACAGCCGCCGGGACTTAGACTCGTCCTCGTCCCTGTGCTCGGAGTTATTCACCCCGCCAGTATCCCAACCCGCATACAACCTATGCGTTACAACGTAGTGAAGCACTAATATAAAAAAACTAATTTTCTCTTGAAATTTCAAAATATGGGAATTGTGTGCGACAGAGAATCAGAAAGGGAGGAGACCGCGAAGACGAACCAGCAATGACAAGAGCAGTACGAAAACAAATGAAATACATCAGTGTTCAAAAGCTTGAAACCGATCAAGAAACCAAGAGCACAGAACCGTTCGAAAAAATAACCCACAACTTACGAGAAGTTTAATGAGGCAATATTATCACATACAAAAATGAATTAAAGAAGGCGACTCCAATGAAAATGCTCCAGACACAACTGAAGAAAGTAAAAACATCTGAGAACATAGTAATCATCGAATCTGAAACGGCCTCCGAAGTGATGTTCTGCTTCCGATGGGTGATACGAACGGGCATTCATATAACGGACAATTCTAAATACATCCGAATAATGGAAATTTGCCGATGGGGTGAATGCTTAACGGTCCCGGAAATGCATTCAATGGGAGCATAGGCAGAGATAACAAAAAGGTGCTTTGACGAAAGCCGTCAACCACTAGGTGTCGGGTTCTCCACTCAGCTCAAGCTATCTCTGCCTGACGATTCCAAATTAGGACGAAACCGGTCGGTCCTGCATTGCAGTGTTAGGAGGACAGCTCCGAAACTCCCCACAAAGGTGCTTTGCCAACCTCCGGTGGATATTTCAAACTGAAAATCACGAGTGCGGTCTTTTCGGAAGAATTTTGCTCGAAAGGTCTGTTATAATGATCTGGTTGTGACGATTCCTAATCGGAAAGAATGAAAGACTTGCGAACTGTATACATTCAGAGAAAAGTAACCGAAGAAATGCGGATTCGCATGATTTGTGAGATTTGATTGCCAGACGTTTTCTACATGCGGCTGAATCGAGTAACCACAAAGAAAACGCAGACTTCACACGTGTCCACACGAAAGACAGGCACTTTCATTGACCAAACAATGAGCACACATAGAGTTTCGCATCCTTATTTTTTTTTTACCAAGGATAAGTGGTGTATAGAATATTTCACACAGAACAACATTAGCAAGCTAAACCGGAAAGCGAAGCGTAACTAAGTGAATGGGCACAACGTAAGCGGAAGGTTTAGGAAACACGTGAATGTTTACAACCGTGGAGGCTGCGAAGGAAAAAGTGAATTAGTTACGAAGGTTGGACGAAAAGAGTGAATTCATGTAACTACGGAGGCCGATTGAATCATATAAGCTAGCATGAATGCCAGTGTCTGGGTCTTACGTGGTTCCCCGATTGCGCGATCTTGTGGGGACATAGATTCCCCATAACAACTTCCCACATTCGTTCCGAGCTGAAAGAATCGGGATCACAAGCTAGTGGATATAAGTCACTTAACACCATAAAGTAACTACGGTGTCATCTAGTGAACCACCCGAAGCAGGTCATTAGCTGCTCTATTGGAGATTCACAACTGCGTATTCTTCTACTGCGGCATATTATACGCCTTGAAGAGTATCAAACGCAAATGAGTTTAGGCAGCTTTGCACTGAATCGAGAAAATTGTAAACGGTGGTAGCAAATTAGTAAGGAGGTTGTGCTCTCTCATAGTCAAGAGTGAATTTTGATAATTGTGATTCGTGTCAACCAAACAGAGTCTAAAACTTATGAATGGCTGTCTCTCAAGACAGGAGGAGTTGAGGCGGGAGGGCCATGGTCATCTCCACAATCTTTGCTTAAGAGGAGGATAATAAAGCCGAGATCATAAGCAAGTAGAAAGTTCCATTTAGTATGGGTCGATGGAAGAGACGGGCGTGCAGACCACTGCGCCACATTACAATCTGGTTTTATCGCAACGGTCAAAAAACCGCGGTTCAGCATTGTTCCAACTGGTAGCGCCCTGAAAAATGAACACTATCTGTGAACAGGATAATGACGGGCAGTAAACACACCTGTGACTGTTGGAAAACGAATTCCAAGAGGCTCCGAGTTGGGTACTTCGTCGGAGAAATCGCCTCGTGTTTGCCACACAAAAGCCCGATCACTGCCACAGTTGGGTCTCAGCTGCATTTGCGGTGTGATGGCGTGATTGGCGCAGACCTGATAAATAAGCCGACAAGAAGCTAAATGGATGAACAGGAGGCAGATGGTACACAAACGAGAGAACGCAAACGAGGCAGTCCAAATGTGCAGCGAGCCGAAGTAACCTTGCGAAAACATACGGCAGCGCAAGAGAGAGGTGACTTAACCGACTGCTTTTGACCAATTGAGCCGGATCGGGGCTAGATCGCTCAATAAACAGAACGTGTTCGAAATAACGAGGCGAAAAAGAGAAAGGGAATAGCAGTGACAAGAGAAATAACGACGATGACGTACCTAGACCTAAAGTTACGAGTATAGCCGCCGAAGTGGGGTGGGCTCAGGTGACATGACTCTCAAAAGGTCATGCGGGATGAGATCTCTGAACAATATGACCAAACGCCAGGCCACCTAGGAGGAACGCGGCTAGTCCCAACTAGATGGAATCACTCACACTTATTTTACTGCGTAATGTCGCATCATCCACTTGAAACTTTCGGACTAACAAGAATACGAGACCATGAAGGATCGGTAACGACCAACATTTGCCATTGAGATGTCCTCAAAAATGCTCCAGAATACTTGTTGAATGCTAGCATTGAGTTCCTCCCAGGTAGTCGGGTGGGTGAGTTGGATTACGCTGATGATATCATCATGTTGGGTGATCGTCCGCAGACCGCCTAACTTGCACTTAACCGCCTGGCGAGTGAAGCGTCGAAGTATGGCATGCACCTTTCATCATTCAAGTGCAAAGGGCTTTTTCAAGACTGGTATACACTCTTATCTGCACTCACCATCGATGGGGAAACGTTAGAAGTTGTACAGAGCTTTTTCTATCTGGGAAGCTGCATAACTGCTGGTGGGGCTGTTGGAAACGGGATTTCGATGCGTGTCTCAAGAACTCGTCTCGCCTTCTCCAGGCGCCGTCAAGACATCCGTCTCTCCATCTAAGGACGGGTTTATAGTGCTACTGCCTGCGCTGTACTGTTGTACGGTTGCGAGACTTGGCCTGCTCGTACCGATGACCCACGTCGACTGTCCGTCTTCGAGAACCGTTGCTTTCGGTCCTTCGCTCGTGTGTGGTGCATGAACCACGTAGCCAAAGCTGAATACAGCGTGCCTTGGGTGGAAAGAGCCAGTCCCACGAGGCGCTTTTCTCGCTGCGCCAACTACGGTGGCTCGGACACGCACTGCGTATGCCCGTTTAGTGTCTTCGAGTCGTGTCTTGTTCGCGGTCGCTGGACAGGGCTGGAGGAGGCGGTGTGGTGAACAGCCTATAACTTGGAGAAGCAGGATGAAAAAGTTGACAAAACAGTTGGCCACAGTTGGTTCCTCCAGAATTCCTGGATCGGGTCCCAAGGGTACTGGGTTGTTGGAAACCTTGGAAATCAGTGCACAAAACCGAACTCAGTGGCGGGCGTGTATCTCTGATTGTTGCGGTGATTCTCCTTCTGTCCTCTAAAAAACCTCAAAAACCAAGTGGAAAATGAACAAAAATTGTCTGTTTTCTTTCTTCTTTTACCCTAAACTTGTGTTCCTATTCCGCCATGGTCCCGATGGCACAGTATCTGTACACAGATTGTGATCAATATATATATATATATATATATACATATATATATGTATATATATATATGTATATATGCATGCTGAGGCTGATGTTGCATTCTTGATGCTTCTTCACCGCAGTTGGGCTAGACCAACTTACACTTAAACTAGGTCTTTTTAAGCTGGATAAATTTCATTCCGCTTTATTTGGTTTGTTCTGCCTACCTGACTAATCGTCTATTAACTGGCCACCTTGCTTACACTAATTGCGCTTATCTTCGGTTATTTTGTTGCGTTTGTAGCATTTTAAGTAACTCGTAGACATTTCTTACTTATCACGGATTTGTGGCTAACCAACTTACTTCATATGGTAATTTAGCGAAGAGTTATGCCACCGTATCTGTATGCATTATTGGATTTATTTTATCTCAGCTTGTCGTTTAAAGTGAATGGCTGTTGTTTGATATCCCTGGTATGGTTGCGCTTGATGTGCATGTTGACAAGGTGCCTACCTGTCTATTACCCACTACATCGTTCATACTGGCTCCAAGAGACAGTTGGTCGTTGCTGGAGGGGACGGGACGCACGGTCCTTGTGGCCGTGCTAGGCTCAAAGAGCGGTTCCATGCACTCAGTGTGGAGCGGACTACGGTCCAGCCACCGCCTTGTGTGCACTTGATTCCCCGAATACAGCGTGCTTGTGTTTGCCTGTGAAGGAGTGTGGGCCGGCTCCGTTGATGAAACGTGGTTCCCATCCGCATGCCTCCCGGTCTTATTCCTTCGGGTTTACACTGGATATGGGGTATGTGGTTGGAGCTGTGGGTGGTGCAGCGCAAGCCATCCATGGTCCCTCTGTAGGCGCAGGCGTCCTGTGGCTTGCCACAGTGACAGGCAAATCCGAAACCGGATGCTGCCAACGATATATATATATATATATATATATATATATATGACTAGGGTAATGGATGTGATATGGCATGCTTGAAGTTCCACTATACCTTGCACGTAAGCGCGGTGTGGAAAGCAGGTTGCCACCCCCACCTCTCAACCATCAAACGCCAGTTAACCTATGACATTATAAACGGTTTGGACCGCGTATTGGGTACAAGAGAGTAGTAGTAAGGGAATTTGTATGGCGTCCGTTGAAATGCATAACACCTAAACCCAGTTACGCAGCTATGACAGGTCCGGAAAAAACTTGTCGGTCGTTCCAACTCCGTGAGAATTGTTAACGGTGCTCATTCTACGCGTTCGCTGCGGGGCCAGAGCCTGTGACCATGACCTTGTGGATCGCTTGCTAAGACTTTTAGAGTTAGCAGGAAGTAGCTAGCTCAAGGAAATAATGACGTCGGCTTCGTGACTGCGCTAAGCATCAGCACTACGCCGGTAGGCAGTACCGACTCTTCGCCGACAGGCAATCCCCACCAGAGGCGTGTGGGCTAAGGATAACGTGAGAGTTACCCAGACCCCAACTCAGGCTCGAATCTGCGACTTTAAGATTACAAGATAGGCTTATGACGCTTATGGCTACGAGCCGAGGACTGCGTAACGTTGGAAAGAGTTTCTGACTATCGTTATTACCGAGAAAATGAGTCTCATTCAAGGGATTTATCGCGTCATCAGTCGATTAGCCACTCCGAGGTTCCGTCCAGCCAGGATACAGGCCATCAACCGGTATTCGAAAAAGCACACTTAACGCAGATGATTCAATTGCGAGAGACAATCCAGTGCTTCAATAGTTGGATAGTACGTACAAACTGGCTGGCTCGCCGAAGAACCTCCTCGTTGTGCCAGCTGGACGGGTCTGGAATTTCCCGTTCCGGCGAATTGTTCGGCGGCCGTGCTCCAGGACGTGGTGGGTTTTCGAATGGCGAGCGTTCTCCCAATAAAAAGTCCCAAAAATCCCCTTAACAACACTGCGACGTGGCGGATGTAGCTCGCCACTAAATAAAGTCACCGCTCCTTGTTTCCATTTTACACAGTGTACACCAGCAAGCAATTCCAGCATCGGATCTTGTCTCTGACTTCGGGAATGTTGGGCCACTGGCATAGCTTGTCGTCATCCGAAAGGCGTATGAACTGAGTGTCCACTCACCGGTTCCCAACGGGTGCGAATCCCTCATCTCGCCATGCTGCCTTGTGGGGTAGGCCCTTTGGCCAAAGGTTCGGGGCGGTGGTCCTCTATGACAACCTAACTACCTCGGCCTAGACAACCGGGTAGTATCTCGCCTAGTGACGAACCATGGACTTACAACTACAGCCATTCACACGTTCTCTTGATGCTACCATGCTATTTACTCATGCTACTATGCCAACTTCACAAGCACACGTTACCATTTTATCTAACCTTCCCTTGCACCATTCATACCTACTTCTTCTACCTCCTTCTCCACCTCCACCAATGAACCTGTTCCCGTGACATCTGCCAACCTAACCACACAGTGTTTAACAGGGAGCTGCCAACCCCGAAGTCTTCCATCTTCGCTCCTGCTACCCGGAACGCAGTTCAAACTTACAGCTTTCAACGTACGCATATTACTGCAGATCGGTCAGCAAGCTGGACTTGCATGCATGCTAGAGACCCTTGAAATTGATGTCTGCTGCCTGACTGAAACACGACTCCATGACTCCAACTTGGTCTACCAGTTAGCATCACCGCTCCGCCAAAGCACTTGCTTCCATCTCAGCCTCTGGTGACGCTGAGTCTGCCGCATTTGGGCAAGCTGGTGTTGGAATCGCCCTCAGTGCTAGAGCCGAGACCGCTCTGATTGATGGGATTCAGATCAAAAGTGGCCTTTGTGCGACGAAGCCCCATGGCTATTATAAAGTTAGCAGACGTCAAGTCGAAAAGCGTGATCTCTGCCTACGCGCTCACTGACTGTAGCTCGGACACAGTCAAGGACCAGTTCTACCAGAATCTTCATTAGCTGCTCCTAAAACAGACATCATTGTTTTGAAGGGAGACTACAACGCGCGTGTCGGTTGACTGGTATCACCTTAGTGTCACCTCGGGGGACCGTAGAGATATGAGGATGTTCGCTCAGACAATGGAGACAGACTGCTCAGTCTGTGTGCTGATCACCAGCTTTTCCACTCCAGCACCAGCTTTCCTCATCCTCGACGCCAGTACGCCAATTGGTGCCCCCCTCATCAACCCAGCGCTGGTCACAGATTGACCAAAAACTCATAAGTCGCAGGTGACGCCGCAGCGTACAGGACTACAGATCACTTTGGTCAATATGCGTCGATACTGACCATGCACTTGTATGTGCGAACGTTTGCATGCGTTTCGGTGATTCACCTAGGTTCAAACACACTCGAATGAATACAAGTTGGAGGACCTAATGGTGAAGGAGTATCAACAAAGCCTTCGTAAAACTCTCGCTCTCTCCCACTTTGGATGTTGACCAACAATGGACATATCTCCAACAAGCCATACTGTCGGCCGGTTTGGCCAGCTGCGGCCTCGCTTGC